TGTCATTTGACTAATTAATGAAAATTAATTAAAATTTTAATATAAAAATCGACAGAGTAATACAATAAAATTTGTTACATAAAATTAATTGTGTTTTTTAATTAAAAATACTTATTAAATTAAAAATTAAAATTTTGCTATATATTTTTAAAATGTTAGATGTCGCGTTAGAACACGAAGTAAAATTATTTCCTATTAAATTATTATCGACTAAATTTTCTTGATATTAAATAATCTAATTAACACGAATGCTTATTATAATTTTTCTAGTTGTGAAAATATTAAGGTTTCAAAATACATTAAAATTTTTATTGAAATAAAACCGTAAAATACATTGTTATGTAACTAAAAGTATCTATGAGCAAAAAAGAGTTTTATTGTTTCGATGCATCAAATATATTAAGCTCTAAAAACTTCTGTTATGGTCTTTAGATGTGGTTTTCAGAAACTTATAGAGGTATGAATATTTTAAAGAAATATAATTATTCAAAGAAACTGTTATACGCTTTTATGCAGAACTTTTTAAAATTCTTTCATAATATCGTGAATATATTATCCAAATGCAAATGAGAAAAAAAATGTAATAAACGCATGCTCAAACTAATCCTGATAAAAGTGAATATTATTTTATAATAATAGTAATTCAATATATGTAATTTTTATCTAGATAATAGAAAATATGAAGAAAATAAAAAGACTTGTAATGCATTTATGTTTAACTTTTTTTTTTCGAAATTTTCGTATGGTTTGTAAATAAATTTTTAATAACTATTTTATAGTTGTATTCTATGTACATATATCTTTTTCGATAGCAGAGCGAACTAGTGGGTATGTTTAAGAAGTTTTTTTTTTAATACTCAAGTGTAATGTATACATAGATACAAGTGTCGCAACTCCTTTATATTTTATAGTGCACTTTACAATTTACTTTTATAAATTTAATATATTATACAAAGTTTGAAATGATAATTAATATACAAATGGATTTTTTTTAAAGTACTAATGTATATAATATTATTGAATGATAAATGAAAACTTAATTGTGTTAATCAATTTAATATACTAATTTTATTTTTAATTGCATATGTGGCTAAAGTTTGATGCTTATTAATGAAAAAGAATGATTGTTTACAAGCAATAAATTTCTATTTATTTAAAATAAATCGATCACTTTCATTTTGCGACATTATTAAAACGAAAAATAATTTTTGTTATTATTTTTTTTAATTGGAAAAAATACGTTTAATAGGATTTATAATAAAAAGTATTTAGTGAAATAGCATTGTACTCTAAATTTTTTAAACCAGAATTTAGTAGTGAAAGTGAAACAGGATTTACTAGAATTATAAGAATATTTGTAAAAATAGCCTGTTACATAATATTGAATATATATAACATCAAAGATTGCTACACAATTTTTTTTCACCACTTATACAGCGTTTTGAATAAATGCAGTACTTCGTGGAAACAAAATTTGAAATAATATACTTTTTCTTTCAGTTATATTTGAAAATAAAACATAAACCAAGTTGTCATTCAATAGAAAATTACATAACTGCTGCGTTTAATTTATTAAACAGTACATTAATTAATTATAAATTTAAATGTTTTGATCGATGTTTAGTTGTCGAATAATGAAAATATCTGATGCGATTATAGTTAAGAAAAAATAATAATTTTTTCTTTTAGGATTATCTTTTAGTCAAATTATTTATCGAACATAAAAATATATATGGTCTTCCATAAAATATTCAATTATTGAAATATAATTTTATTATTGCTTTCAAACAGCAAAATCAATGTAGAAGTTTATAATTGTATAACGAGACGCACATCTAAGGTTATAAAGCGATCATTCGGAATTTCTACTTATTATCACGAAATGAACAAAAGATAAAAAATTAAACGATGGCTCTAGCCACCCACGCAAAAGTAATCTTATCCTCCATTGGGTAACAACTTTCTTCATCACCTTAAATATGCGATTGTAACTCTCTTGTCTCTCTAATACTTCGAAAGCATTAACTCTTTAAGTGCTCCACGTAAAAACTGTAAAATTATCGTTTTTAAAGTTATCTTAATGATGCTAATTAGCTTCTTAAAAAAATTTTGTTCTTTTTCGTTGGCTTGCATACTGCAGCCTCTTTTTAGATCATATTAAGTCGTCTTATCATTTATTTATTTTTTTTTTTTTTATTACAGAACATCACACAGTTATTATTTGATTTACCTAAATCTATCATATATCATATTATAATTTTATTTGCGTACAATGCAAATTACGCTCATTGCCAAATATTATAAAATAAATTATATTAGATGCTTAAAAGATTTTATGTATGAAAAACTACTAAATATGAGTGGCTTTTATATAATAGATCTTGAAGGACGGTAAGTAGAATTTTACGCAGCGGGACGTAATGCTATTTCAGTTCTTCACTGGGGAATTTCATCGCGCAATACAGTCTGAGGGTTGATGGAGTCGCGAAATCTTGCCGAATCATCATCTAATAGATCCTCAAGAGTGATTGCATAGGACCGTTAGATCGGCGGAACTCGTCGACGATGCAAATAGGCGCACTTACGTGAGAGGAATGCATCTGATTTGGAAATGTCGCGAGGTTTGGGAAGCGGAGAAGAGGTGAGTCTCCATAGGAACCAGAAGGTGTACATTTACATGATCTCTTAGTGATATGTGCGAGACATAACGTACGGTGCAGCTCAATTTGAGCGGAGATTAATTATTTTACGATAAATTCGGTTAACATGTAGGAACATTCAAGTCATCTCGAATTTCCAGTGAGTTTTTTAAGCATTCATGGCATTATAAAAACCGTTTCTATAAATCTTTTTAGGATGATGGACGCCCTGATAACGTTTTTCAATAGTAGAATAATCATAAATATTTTAATTGTAGCTGCCACTTCAATGGTAATGCGATGTATTATATCTTGAAGTATATATCTGAAAGTATATATCTTTCTATATATCTATACATGATATTAGTTAAAGTAATCTTTTATGATTGTCGCAGAGATTTATGAAAGCAGAAATGTATATGGCTTTATGGTTTGTAATAATGAACGTTTAACGATTATTCAAAAGCATAGTACGCGAATCAATATATTAATGAAATTTATGGCAATTCGCGCGGTATCGAATCGACGGTGCAATAAAAATTAAAATTTCACTTTCAAAAGTACACGAACATGAGAAGACAATAAGAGTCATACATAGTTAGTTTGATGCTTAAAAACAACAATACCACTAGCAAGTACTTGTGTAAATAAAAGTATATCACGCATTTGATAACTCAGCAAAATCTGCTGTAAAATATTCCATACAAGGTAAGCGGCTATTGCGTAATCTTAATAAAGAAAAGCTTTCTAGCAAATATTCCATTTCTGTTTCATCACGAAACTTTAAAGTCCCGGCACTAAATTATGTAATCAGCAAGATCGTAGACGGTTTCTCTCTTCAAGATGCGAAGCTTATCCACTCCCTGACTTTTACTCTAACAATGCAGAATTATGCGACCGGAGAAATCGTATAATGCAAAATCTCATGATTCAGGTGCAAAATGAAAAACAAGAAAAGGGAGAGAAAGAGGGGGGGGGGAGTAGATAAGTATAGGTTGTAGGGACAGATGTGGGAAAAGGCAAAGGAAGGGCAGGATGGATGAAGAAAGTGTCGGTGGGAGAAAAAGCGTTGACCGGCTGTCGGAGGAGGTGAATAAAAAAGCGCAGACGTATCTGGAGTATGTAAGATAGAAGATGGAGGTGGTAAGGTGATTTCACGAGAGGATGGTTTTAGGCCAACGCCTCGCAAGTCGTGTTGCAAAAATAAATTCTTACGGGTCAGTGGCGTTTAAACGAAATCGTCGCTCAATATACCAACTGGCCTGGGAGTAATCGGAACCCTTGAGGAATATTATAAATCGTGATCCACGGCCTGTTCTGGATTCGTCCACAGCTTCCACACCCATCGCCCTCAGCTGCTGCAGACATCGTCGAGTAGGGAAACAAATTTTGCAGTTCGGAGTTGTGCGTTCAACGAGCGACAAGCGATAAGCAAAGAGAAGCCATTTGCCGGCTAATTTATCGTGCATGCGTCACCAATTTCAGATTGATTAAAATAAATGGTCTAAATTTCGGAGATATATCATTTTCGTAATCCGTCCGCGAATCCTTCGAGACTTTGACAGTTTGAGTACATCTAAATGCAGAGTTGTTTACTTCCAAATTCATCAAAGTGATTTTACGACTATTTAACCTACATTTCAATGCCTCTGCCCAATACCACAACATTATTTTCATTAATTTGTGAAATCTTTCATTAAACTATTAGATAAACCATGTATTTTATTTAATCAATATTATTTGTACGAATTTTTGCATATTATTACAATCAATAATCGATGTCATGTAATTGTAATGGTATTAATCGCCAACTGGAGAATTTATTGACTTTTGATTATTCCAGTTGGACTATTTGCTCGTTTTTCATTACATTTTTTATATTTTATTTTATCTTAAAGAGAATTATTTTGAAATAAAATACTTAACTCTCTCTATAAAAATTTAATTCTAACGAATATTAAGATAAACAAATATTGTCTAAAGATTTTACGAGATCTTGGTCAGATGCGAATTTTCCTTACAATTTCTACCAAATATATTTAAGCTCTGAGCTTGCGCTACGTAAGAATGCCATCGAGAGTACATATAAGAATTTCAGAGCAATGCAAAGATTTCGTAAAATTTTTAACCAATTGGAGAGGTCCTAAAACATTGAACTACTTATATGAAAAAAAGAAGAAAAAAAACGTATAAATTTCACAAGATGAATTTAATTTGGAGCAATAAAAAGTATTTTGTTTCAGTATCCACGTGCTCAATCAATTATCGCTTTTATCTAATCTAGCGGAAAATAGGAAAGTGATATATTGAGAGTACCTTATTATAACAGTGTTAGGCAATGATAACAGTTAAATTACCAACCTGAGGGATGCGAAAGAGCCGAAGGAGATTGGCTACTTGTATAGAGGTAACGGAGCTCGCCGCGCCAACGACTCCGCTGATGACTTTCCTAACGGCTGTCTTATTGCAGTGATATTCGGCTCCATCGATGTTGCTTATCGAACCTGCAAATATATTAAGCATTTTCTTTAGATATCAAAATCTTGGTATATTTCTTGCTTAATCCGATACGATTTAGGTGGACAAAATTTTATGTGTATTTGAACGGATAATAAAGCTATTGTATGGAGGTATTTCGAATTCAAAAAGCATCTGGTCCATAAATAACAATTATTCACCTATTAGGTTTACGTAAAATAACAGTTGGCATGGATTTTATAAGTAAGCTTTGTAATAATACTTTACAGCTTTTTCAAATATCTCTTTCGTTCCATTTTGATTTGCTTTTTTTTTTTTTTTAAATTTACACTTCAATCAGTGTCGAACACTTTCTTTTAGCTAAAAAGTAGTTTTTTTTTCCTTAATGAATACTGATTTGAGTAAAAAACTATACACGCGCGGGCGAACAAACATAGTCAAATACAGTATTTTCTATTATCTTTTTCACAAACACGTTGACAAGCATAAAAAAATTATTGTCCAAACATGTATAAAAATGAAATATTTCAGATTTTATATATTGTCAATTTCAAGAAAAATAATACTATATATTACACACATAATTTTGTATCACACACACACAAGCGCGCGCGCGCACACACATGTGCACAGATATACCTCCCCCCCCCGCCCTTTCCTAACCCACACACCTGTCGGGACCCATGCACGCGCATGCGCGTATAGTATAAGTGTTTTATATAAGTGTTATATAGAGTATTATATAAGTGTTATATAAGTCTTATATAAACCTACAATATAAGTGTCTATAAGTGTTCTAGAAACTATAAACATTTTTTTTTTGAAAATAACTTTTAAGACTGGGTGTGTACGATATTTGATTTTATAGTAAATAAATTTATACAGTCGTCTTATATTTTTTGAAATTATACGAGTCAGAAATTCTGTAAAGACATATAATTAATTTTTTAATTCTTCTCCTGAAAACTAGAAATTCATGCTTTGATATCTAAATATAAAAAGGAAAAAGTTTTAATTTTTAACACAATATATGTATATATATATATATATAAATATATATATATAATTTTTATACAGATACACCATTATAAAAATGTTTTTATTTTATAAATGTCTTTTATATTATTTATATTTGAATATATTTATATATATATATAATAATAATAATCATAATAATAAATTATTTCACGTATTATCATGGACACTCATAATTATTTTAGTACTATATAGTCAACATGCGTTTATAACTCATAAAATCAGATTTTAATCAACACGCGATAATAAAAAAAATGAATTGGGAATTAATACGTCATTTATAAGGACTTATATTTTCTGATTATCTTTTAGGTGAAAATATCATTAAATAAATAACAAATTACGATGTATTATTCAAATATTGATTATTATGACATTAAATATTACAAATTGTATAATTTCAAAGTACTATTCATTAAAGGCAATTCCAATCATTTCCCTTTCAATTTAATCTATTTACTTGTAGACATCTTAGCTTGATATATGACAAAAAATTAATTATCGAAAGCTTTTCTTAATTATGAATCGCTCAACTAGGGTATGAAAAAAAGTTTTAACTTTTGACATTTGATATCTAATTCTTCTTAAAATTTTACAATCTCCAAATGATTATTCTATTTAAATGGCATTTTTATCGATTGACAAATTTATAAGAAAATCGAAGCTCCAATTTATTCGCTCTTCGTATATTATTAAAAGCAAATATTTTTTGTAATCATCTCACGACAAAATATGATTTTTCGAATAAATTTTTTAAAATCCTCATTGTAAGATAAAATCTTTGAAATTACAATATTGGCAGACCTTAAACTAGCACTGAAAATACCTCTAATTTTATTATTTCAATATAAATATTTAATTAATTCCAATACTGCCCAATATAGTAATCTCTTAATTAATTTTGTGAACGAATATATTTTATAGTGACGAGTATATTTTACAAATAATTCATTTAACCAGAATTCGCATTTTACTAAAATTAGACATATTGTATTGCAATAGGGAGATTCTTGATTTGTAATAATTTTGGTATAAATTCATAACTTAATACTAAAAACAGTTGATTTATAATAATCCCGGCATATATTTTCATATATTTTCCAATATTATGTTGATCTCAAAGACTCGGCAATATTGTCGTCACTGTTTAAAATAAATCGAGTGGATAGTTTGAAATTTTATTGAAATTCTCCTGTACGTATCGAATAACAGTTAATTAAGCCAGTTTCCATATACGGAAATACACGCTGAAATATACAGTCGTTGGGAGCAGACACATCGCGGTACCATAATGTTGAATGCCATCAGTCACTCCTGACATGTAATGCGACCAATTCTCTTGTGGCATCCAAAGCACATTCCTGCGCAAAGCAAACCGAGAGTAAAATTGATATGCCGATTCGCATGATCAATTGGATTCGCGAAATCGCTTGTGCTGATGCGATTGCGGCATCTGCGTCGTCGCGTTATACCTATTAATCAATTTATGCTAATGCCAAGCGAACTGAGAGGCTGCTTTTTTTGGTGAAAGTTTTCTCAATTAGACGAGCGTACGAGCGGATGGTTTTATCAGATTTTTACCCAAATCTGCATATTATGGCTCTGGTGTCAATATTTTTTCCTTCGCTCGAATTTAAGAGATCGCATTTTTTATAATCTTATTGCTTATGAATCGTAAAGTATAATGATTGGAGAGGTAATAGAGTTCTGTTGTTTGTCTAAAATTACCCAAGTGGAATTACCGTATTTTTAAAGAATGTATAATAATGCTTATAAACTTCATCAATTTATGAATACATTTTAAAAAACTTTTTATGATCCTTTGAAGAAAATGAACACGATTCATTATAAATTCAATGTCATTTAATTCGGACGATTTTCTTTGTTGCACTGCGAGAGTGCGCTTTTTCCAAAGGTTAAAAGTTTCAAAATCATTCAAATTGTTTAAATAAGGTATTTTGTTCGGAATTTGATTGATAATTAGTTTTAAATAGTTTATTGTATTTTTTATACACATATACAACGCTTTATACATTTATAAAAAAAATATAAAATGACCAAAAACAAACACGTACTAATAGTATATGTGACGAGAATTATTTTCATTAAGTAACAATTAAATCTCTGATACTTTGATTTAAATAATTTATAAATGTACATATCTTTATGTCTTAATAAGCATGTAAATGAGTTTTAGTAATCTAAATTTCACAGTCTTATTTTTATTATTGAAACACATTTATCAATACATTATTAAATAAACATTAATATTGCGTTAAAATAAAATGAATATTATTACGCAGAATATTAGCATATATACGACAAATATGCAATTATTTTAAATTATGTTTATTACAATAATAGCTCTAGAAAAATTTCTAAAAATTGTTTAATGAAATTTTTCATATATGAAAATAGAAAATTCGAAGTTTCGTTGAAATAATGACATAAGTGTAAATCAATCTGAGCAAATGATTAACTCAAACACAGCTATCACAACTTAATCAAGATTTTATTTATTCTGATTAAGTGTACGTGAATATTAATAACATATAATTTGTCAATACCGTAAAGCTGTGTTGGATAGGGGTTAGATCAGCAATGGAGATTAATAATTTGAATTTCATTTTAGCTCAATTAATAAGAATAATGTTGAAAAATTGTTGATACTTTTATTAATAACATAATAAAGTAAAATTTATATAAGACTGAACTTTCTAAAAATATCAGTAAATAACAATTCTTTTTCCATAATATTATTTAGCTGTAGAGTACAGTATTTAGATGTTAATTAATTATTTTCTAAATTAAGAAATTAATATTAATAATTGTTGAAAAGAGTTTATATAAATAATTAATCTGCTTAATATTTATCGTAAGATTCGTGTTTATAAACATAATATTCTGTGGTATCCCGTGTTTACGTAATATAAGCAGAGTTGGGTTAGTTACAGACGATAATTAAAGTGGATAATCCATATTATCCGGTATGTAGTCGAATTAACAGATTATTATATTTATACTCTTTAAATTATTAGAATTTCTAATTGAAAATTGTGGCACTAGGTAGCATTTAATCTTAGAATAGAAAATAAAATCTCTTAATTACAATGCATTATGTATAAATGAAAAGGCTTTCACAGTAAAATCTTAAGATGACTTTTAGATTGAAACTTTTATGGCGGTAAAATAATTTATCAACTTTATCAAAATTTATTAAATACACCATTACGTATCTTAAGGTTATTAGTTAAATAATTTTATGTACGATTTAAATATAACTAATATATTAGTATGTCGATTAATTCAATATTTATGTAATCGAATCATTTTAATTTATTTTCAATAAATAAAGAGACTTGCGAAGAGTGGATAATAATATAAATTAATGATGCTAATTCATACTTCACGCTTCATATTTTAAGCAGAAACAAACACAGATTATTATTTATCATATCGTATCGTACTCAATTTTCGTGTAGCTCCGCTTATCAATGATAAGGTTAGTCATTGCACGTAAGGTTTGATGTTTTATAATGAGCAATAGAGAATAAATAGTTGAGAGTATTTTCTCGTTGTATATATGGAATTAACTATGTTAATCTAACAATTATGTCTTGTATGATCTTATACACATCAGTACAAATACATCTTACAATTAATGTACACATATTCTATTGACAACGATATGATTGACTTTGTTAACGCTATTATTCACAGTTTAGTGTATAGACGTGCAACAATTTTATATTTTATGACAGTATGTAGGCAAATATATTTATGATGCAAATGATTAATAAGAATTTAATTTGTTGAATGAAATTAAATAAATATAGCGATTATTTTGAAATTATATAGAAAGAAATACTAATTCGCAATAATAAATAATTTCTTTTTAAAGTTATTATTACTTCTTGTAGAAACGATTTTTCATTTCAAATATTCCGAAACTTTTTTTATTGCTTGAAAAAGGTACGCCATTGTATTGAAT